AACCCCGTATCTAGCGCTCAGCGACTTTTGAGCCATATAAGAGACGCTTAGTGAAATATGTCGCCAGCTCTTAGACTATAAGTTTTCGTTGAGCGATTTTTCATACACCTCCATTTCTTGATCATAGTTACTTATCTATGCACATTTGGCGATTGATGCACATTCCGCAATTGTAGAGTAACCATCATCTCCACTGCACATTTTGATTACTAGCACTACTATCATAATCACTGTTTGACTAGGTAAGCAGCATATTAAACTATTATTATTAACACTACCGTTGCAACAACTCGGTGTATCCATATATAAAGGTGAACTTCGCAGCTTGGATCGTTCCCCAAATGAATTTATTGCCTCCTGCATTATATATTATTTAAATGATGAAGAATTAAGTTACTAAATATTTTATTCAGTCGGCGCCCTGCTTAAACCAATTACCGTTATGAAAAAAATGTTATATTCGTCCTTTTTCCGACTGCACCCGAATTAACAATGTACACGTCACTAATCTTTAACAATTTTTTGTAATTCCTCCATGCGATTTCCTTCTTTAAAATATTTAAAAAAACGTTGAGATAATATGCACTTAAATTCGTCTGTATCTACCATTTTCCCCGTACTTGGTATTAATCACATTAACTTCCAACAATTTGTATTTTTTCGATATGCCGAGTTCACTAGGATTTTTAAACGATGTACACAATGCATTACGATTTAAATCGGAGAAATCCATCTTTAATAAACGCAAGGCGCCGACTGACTGAGTTAAGCGCGATTTATACTATCCGTACCGATTCCGTCAACGAAACGTAAAATATTCTCGTTTACAAATCTTGACGGTTGGGACGGTGACGTGACGGTGTAGTCTGAATATGTCTATAAAGGCGGAAACACATTACTGTCACGTAACGTGCTATCACGTCAAGCATACCTTCGCGTGATGTCACGCTAGGAGACACATTTGTGTGCGCCCACGGTGTCGCGCGGTAGCTGTCGTTGCAATTTAAGATTTGCATTTAGTCATTAGTAGCGATGAAGCAGAGATTCTTCTTCGTCAAGTTCTTTAGATGAGGAAGAGGATATAGAAAATACGTTGCTGCTTTTACAGTGGCTAATTAATGGAATACAGCGCAGTGTTTGGATTCACCACATAAATCATTGAAGAGAAGTGGGGGAATTTCGTCAATTAGTCCAGGAATTATTGAATTAAGATTCTACCAATTTCCTCCCAAGTTTCTTGTCGAACCCTCTGATCCCGGTACTCAGCAGAGGAGTGATTGTATAGCCCTTCGTGCTGTCTCACCAGTTCAATTAAATGTTCGTCCATCTGTTCTTGACGAAACCACTTCGGAAAACACTTGACGTGATGTCACGTTTTACTACAAAATGTAATTTTGCGGGATAACGGAGGCGTGATATCATGCGAGATCAGAACAGCACGTCGTGAATGCGTGAGGTGACAGTAGTATGATTCTAAAGACATAAACGTCATAAACTTCTATACGTCAGTGAATTTGCACATTTTGCGCAGATAACGTGAGTTTGCGTGATAGCGCGTGAGCTCACGTGACGTGACAGTAATGTGTTTCCGCCTTAACTTTCAATGTAAGAACATTTGACGTTTCGTTGACGGTTCGGTGACGGAACGCAGGCTCACTTTATATCTTAATAATACGTCCTTGAATTTACCTGATAACATTTGAGCTTTGGTATGCTGGACCACTATCAAAGGAGAGCAGGGGGACTAGTGCCATTCACCTTGACCTATTTTCCAAGGTTATCTACATGTGACCTTAGAACTTCACCTTGACCTACTTTCCAAGGTCACCTTCGTGTGACCTTTGGACTTCACCTTGGCCCACTTTCCAAGGTTACCGTCATCTGACCTTTGGGCGTCATCTAGACCTACTTTCCACGGTCACCTCCATGTTACCTTTGAAATTCCCCTTGACTTACTTAAAAGGTCCCCTTCATTTGACCTTTGAAAGTCCCCTTGACCTACTTTCCAAGGTCACCTTCACCTGAAATTTACCTTGACCTAATTTCCAAGGTCACCTCCATGTGACTTTTGGTATTTGAATTTCACCTTGGCCTACTTTCCAAGGGCACCTTGACCTTTGAAATTCACCTTGATCTACTTTCCAAGGTCAGGTGGCGAATTACCTTGAACTGGTCCAGAACCGGCCCTATATGACTACTTTAATCATCGCTAAAAAACTGTGGGGGTTCTCGTTTATTCCTAGGAACATTCAACTCCTCTATACATTTTAATCTATCTGGGTTTGGTATAACACCACTTTAACTGAATATTGACCCTAAATATTTCACTTTGCTTTCACAATATTGCAATTTTAATGGGTTAAATTTTATTCCGTTTTCCCTAGCCACTTTCACAACTTCCTGGATGATCAATTGTAATTGCTCTCTAGAATTAGCTGCACATAAAACATCATCAAAATACGGAACCACTCCTTCTATTTGACCAAAATACTTGTTTATTAATTTACACAAAATTTCAGGGATAGTAGATAATCCAAAGGGTGTTCGTAAGTATTTTTTCTTTGCTAGTTTTACAGTGATCTTCTCTAATGTGGGGAATCTCGTAGAAATCTCTTACTAAATATTTATTAAGGTGGCGGGGATCTATACAAAAACGCAAGGAACCATTTGTTTTTTCAATGCAAACCAAGTTACTAACCCATTCACTAGATTCTTTCGAGGGTGTTATTACACCTTTTCTTTCTTACTCGTTGCGGACGGAGTTTTCATAGAGATCGGGCGTGTTTTGAGCGCTCCGCGGCCTTAAAAACCGTGTAGCGTAGATTTTAGGCGATAAAATTCTGTGAGTGGTTCGGGCGGATGCGCGCAAAAAAGACGAATTTTTTGGTGTAAACCTAGTCCAAATCGGTCGGGTAGTTTAGGAGCTGCCGAATTTTAAATTTTTGAAGAAATAAAGTTGTTTACAACTTACCTCGTGTTAACCAACCTTGTTAATTGGGTTGCGATAAGGACCAACCGGGTGTCAATCGATAGGTCTTGGCCCTAGGGGAAGAACCCGCACCGGGTCGACCCTATCGCTACATCCCTGCAGGAGCTAGAAGGCTATCAGTGGGACGCTGATAATAACAGATCGGCTTTTAGGGGCGCAAGGGTAAGTGCTAGAAGTAAGGGACTTTCTCCCCGGGGGGGGGGGGCAATAATAGAAAACCACATAAAACGTGTCAACTACCAATTACGTATGGAATAACGCACATGTAGCTAAACCCTCCACACCAACTCCAGTAGGACATGGGTGGAAGTTGGAAAATGGTGGTGTAATCCAGTAGTACAACATTTATGCGAAAATAGTGCGATTTATATTTCGTCTCAATTCTGTAAAACATGAGATGAAAGACGGGGCTAATTTTTTTCGTGTAAATTATACATTTAAAAAGTATGCTACAGAACAAAATTTTAATATTTAAGAAAAATCAATTTTTTAGAGCACTGCCAATAAAAAGTTTTATAGGTAAAATGGTGTCAACACAAATTATTTTAAAAATCTCCCTGTAGCATACTCAGAAAAAACATGAGCAAACCATAGAGCCATCGACCAACCTTTCACATAAATTACAAAAAATTTTAGACGAAATATTCATTCGAAATTTTTTACGAAAATTTGCAGCGTTTAGTGAAGTCAGTCACCATTTATAAATGTACAGTAGGCAACACATCATACAGCAGGCCTGACTCCATTAGCGGCATTGTTGCGTTTATCGGAACCAATTTACAAATAGAAACCGGATTCATTAGAAGGTATTATAATTCCATAATATACTGGGTAATAGAATTCACGCGGAAAATGTGATTTATTTTTGGGTGAATTAAAAGTTTGCGTCTTTTCTGACGTTTTTGTAACACTCCTAAAATGTTAGTGTGATACAAATTTGAGATTATTCCCATGTAGCATCCTTCGGAAAGAGATGTCATTTGCGTAAAAAGCGTTGGTTCTGATTTGTTTTGTGTTGTTCCCGAATTAGACGAAATTTGGAAACACCCCTAAAATTTTAGTGTGACACAAATTTGAGATTATTCCCATGTAGCATCCTTCGGAAAGAGATGTAATGTGCGCAAAAAGCGTTAGTTCTCATTTATTTTGTGTTGTTCCCGAATTAGACGATTTTTTGTAACACATCTAGAATATTAGTAAAAAAATGTACACATTTTTAAAGATATCTAATTTATACGTACTTATTCGCTTACATGCGTTATTTTCCAGATAGGGTCAATACAATTCATGGAGTAATTAGTGGGTTAAAAAAAATTATGCGTCTTATTAAAAACTGGGAAAAGTGAAATTATTGAGGATTAGCCGTTGTGACAATGATTTACGTTTTCTAATCGATGTGTAATTATATATGCATATTCGTCACAATGACTAATGACCTGGGCAAATTAGCGTAATTACTTGTTTACTTTGTACAATGGTTGGGCAGGTAAATTCTTCAATCTTTGTTTATTCGTTGCCATTTCATTACAAGTAAATATTATGCAACCCATCATACGTCAAATAGAAATAAAATTTAAGTGGAATACACCCTTAAGTTTGATTGGATTAAAGGAGACCCGTTGCCTCCCGAACTGCTTGACGTTCCAGAAAGCTTTGAACTGGATGAATTTGAAGATGAAGACGAACCAGAAGTACTAAACTTAGACGACTTAATACACGAGGATGAAGAAAATGGCAGTTGATTACAAATGATTAAAGTGACCATTCGTCCGTCATTAGGACGGATTGTCCGTTTTTTAAACTTATTGTCCGACATTATAGTATGTCCGGCAAAATGTCCTGCATTTAAGGGATCAAAGAAAAAATAATATAGCTTCACAAAACAAAAGGAAAAGAACAACTTTCATTTTTCGCGGAATCTAACGAGCAGGCGGTTCGTACGCGTTTACCTTGACTACTATACTTTAGAGGTGAGAGGGCGGGGTGGGGCGGTGGGGTATCGGTACGGCAAGTACGATGCGTTCATGGTTCATTACTTGTGTGGCTTTCCAAGCGCAATTTTAAAACACGTGCGATTTCATTTTTATGCTAAATTAACCAATTGAAGTGAAAATAAAACGAAGATTAGTTTAATTGGTCTTCTTCCTCTGGTTAACAATTAAGTAAGTACTTACGTTACGATAGTAATAGAAGCAATTATCAAATATTTTTCATAAATTTGTAGATTAATATGGGCCCAAAACGAAAAAGAATGTGCAAATTTTCCGACGATATAGGAAAAGAATACCCATTCATAAAAAAATCAAAATTGGATTCCGAAGTACATTGTGAAAAATGTAAGAGTGTGTTTTCTATCGGGTATGGAGGTAAACGTGACATAACAAGGCATTTAGGGTCGGAGAAACACAAAAACGTTTTGCTTTCCCTTGCTTCTTCAAGCCAAGTCACCAATTATTTCAGAAGGGAGGAGTTCGGTTCACGTGAAAAAAAAATAGCATTATCTGAGGCAGTATTTTCATTCGGTGCCGGTTTAGTATGCGGTCTACCAATCCAAATTGAATTTAGTATGCGGTCTACCATCTTGCTGACAATCTACCTCAACTAATTGAATGTAGTGTGCGATCTAGTATGTCCCTAGACTATATTAAAGGTGTTACAGGTAAATAAAAGTACTCATCAGAATTACGAAAATTGTATTCAATATCAACAATTACATCCTATACACATTATATTCATTGTCAACTTTTATTATTACATATACTTATTCATTCGCGATAAACTTGCCTAATGTCGTCTAAAAATTTTATAAACAGATCATCTACGTTTTTATTGAAAATCCGCCAACAAACTTAATCCAAGTGGGACTGGAAATGTTGGATGGGCACTCCTCTCATCTTTTTCATTATTTTTATTTTGGCGTCTAGCCAACTCCGCTCAATTCCCTGTGTATGAGCTCCAGTCTCTGGATTAACGTAGTTCTCTTGATGATTTACCTGCCATATGCAGGCCATTCGTCAGAGTGGATAAGCGATCCCATTTCAACTTCTCTTTGAATTATTGGGAGCAATGTTTCTGCATCTCGTCTTGCCACATAAAAATAACGAGTTTCGTTAATATTCCTCAAACCAAACACCCATGGTCCATCGATACGTCGTCCATGGTTACGATTATTGTGGATGTCATCATCAGACTCTTCTGATTCTGCAGGTGCATCGCCCTGCAACATTCTTCCTCTACCGTATTTTCTGCCACCGGCAAAACGGGCTTCATCTATTTGCACCGGGTCTTCATGTGTTCCAGTTAATCGACCATTTCTAGTGTCTGATACCATCGAACTGCATACCTCTCTACACATGTTGAACCAATCGATCACGGTAGCGTTGGAACGACCGGTAAGACTAACGACGGAATCGATTGGAATGTCCAATAAGAAAAGAAAGATCAATTCTAATATTTGGACCAGCAACAACTTGCTGTTAATCCTCCCATTTAAATCGTTGTAATGGAAAAATGTATTTCCATTCCGCACCGACCGTGTGGTTTGACAGCCTTTCCTTGGACAGCGCAATATTGGCCTGAATTCTCCTCCACGATCTCTTCTTCGATTTTCTTGCAACGCCGAGCCACATCGATGACAATTTGCAGCATCTTCTACAACGTCCAACAGATTATGTTGTCTCAAAAAATTAGTTGCCGTCTCTTCCGAAGACCTCACGTTCAAATAAAATTCGCGAAGTAACATGTTGAGTGCCAGCAATACGAGCAGCAACGGATAGTTATGAACTAAAATATGGGGAGATTTTGACCAGCTTATATACATGGGGCTACTTAATACTTATCCATTAAGTAATTGTAATTAGCAATAATGGGCCATTAATGGGATAGCAGCCCGCAATTGCAAAAATGCAATTATGGGTGATTGTCTAATGATCATCATGGATCACTAAAAAGAAAGTGGTTGAAATGTGCTTTATTTTTTTGAAATACCTGACGAATATTCCAATGTAAAAAGGTAGACCGCATACTACATTCAGATTGATAGGGTGTAGACCGCTATCTCTAAGATAGACCGCATACTAAACCGGCACCTTTCATTCCATACAGTGGTTCATAATCAGACGTTTAGATCGATGGATTGTACGACCAAGATAATCCAACATTTGTTCGAAAAAAAATTTGCGTCGAAGAACTAAAACCGAGGCAATAATAAAGAAAGTCATTGCACCTTTTGCTGCTTCTGAGCTCACAAATGATTTAGAGTCTTTAGATTATGTATCCATTTTTTCAGATGCTTCAAATCATAAAGCTTTTCCCGACTCTAGTTCGTTATTTTAAGAAGGATACGGGCGTTGTTGTAAAACTTTTGGATTTTGTTTCACTTCCTGGGGAAACATCAGAAATGATTTCAAACTTAATTATAAACATTTTAACGACCAACAACTTAACAAATAAATTAGTAGCTTATTGTGCAGACAATGCAAATACAAATTTCGGTGGAATTTCGAGAAAGGGGGAAAATAATGTTTTTAATAGGGTAAAAAAACACTTAAATCGAAATTTATTTGGTGTAGGATGCACAGCTCATATAATGCATAATGCCATCCAAACCGCTGCCGATTTACTTCCCATGGATATTGAAAGCATAATTGTTAAAATATATTCTCACTTCTATATATACACTGTGCGAACAGAAAGTTTAAAGGAATTTTGCATGGAAGCTGAAGTAGAATACAAAAGATTGTTAGGATACAGTAAGACTAGGTGGCTTGCTTTACTTCCAGCGGTGGAACGCATTTTAAAATTGTTTATTCCTCTAAAATCCTACTTTTTATCAATTGACAAGTGTCCAAAAGCAATTGAAACATTTTTTAATAATGCAACATCAGAACTTTGGTTGCTATTTTTACAAAATCAAGCTGCACTTTTTTCAGAAAGTGTAAAAAAAATTGAGGGTAACACTACCACTTTAATAGAAACCTTTCAAGAAGTAGCGAATTTCATATGGGTAACTCTCACTCGACCCATCGAATGGAAAAACGTACAATCTACATATGAGTTCCTTAATAGCAACTTTCCCACGAACCAGATTAGAGAAGATAATTTATTTGACGAAACCACATTCTTGAGGGAATATGTAACTCCAGAAAAAATTTCAACTTGGAAATCAAATTCAACATCAATTGATTTAAAATGGGTTGAAGTATTTACGTATTTCTGCTCAGAAGATGTGCCTTGTATGAACTTGCAAAAAATTATACAATTCTGCTTGTGTTTTCCAGGGACAAACGCTTCAACAGAACGGGTGTTCTCGATCATAAATAAATTGTGGACGGAAGAAAAAACTCAATTAACAATAGACACACTGAAATGCATACTTACTGTCAAATGTAATATGCAGTTATCTTGTGAAGATTTTATTAATAAAATAAAAGATGATAGTGATTTTCTTAAAAAAGTTCACTCTGCTGAAAAATATTTATAAAATAAACTGTCAATATACATATACTTATGTTTGTTTAGTTAGGTAAAGTAAAGTTGTAGGTACCTATTTAAGTATATTGTTTTTGAAATGGAAATAAAATTTTATAACGTTTACTTGTCCGTCATTGACTTATTTTAAATATGGTCACTTTACAAATGATACTATAAAATCATATGTTGTTAGTTGAGATTTTTTATAAAAACAATTTCATTTTCATGGAACTGAAATAAGTTCATAAAATAATATTGCTTTTAATTCAGAAAACAAATGATTAACGAAAAACAATTGAACTTTTTTAAATAGCATTGCACACTTTTATTAGGCTCATTTGATAGATATTTTTTTCCTCTTTTCAATGACGTAACACGTTAGCACCCGCGTAGAAGAAATTAATTTTTATTTCAAGCTTCTTGTGATAGGTTATGCCCACTGCCTTAGTAGTTCATTACTGCTCATTGATTGTTTTCTGGAATTTCGGGTCACTTGCAAAACGTCTGCGATAACGGAATAAATCGAACGACCTTGCAGCTTTTAATGCTCGTTTTAAAACAGAACGTAGAGAAACTAAAATCAATTATTAACTCATTACCGGATCGGAAATCAACAAATGTTTCTTTTTCCTCCTCTTCTAATCGGAGCGATCTTTTGAATGCTGCAGAAATCACTGCAACATCTGGACGGAAACGCTTGCAATCGGTGGCGGATTAATTGCCTAGTTTAATTACGGGCACGGCGACGGCGGCTGAAACAGAACTTTAGAAATTATATCTATTACCTGTAGTTTGCATCTTCAATTCCAAGCACAAACATTTTGGGGTCAACACTCGTAACGAAGCGATACCGGGAGGTTATATACACGGTGGTACCCAAAACCAGGTGGAAACTAGCTGCTTCGTTACATTAATTCCGCCTATACCTGAAAACTTAAGATTCCTAAAACGATGCATGATATAAATAGGTCAATTATTATCGATTTGTTATCACGAAAGATAAGGCCACACTGCAAAAAAACCTAAATAGATAGCTTATGAATCAATATTAAGCAAGAGTGTTGCCGCAACATTAACCATTTAATTTTTCTAATAATTTTTAATTTATTTCATTGCGGATAAATTTTCCTTTATACAAAATGCTATCTAAAACACACGAGTGTTTATCTGCAAAACCTGCGCCGACGAAAAGAGCAGACCAGAGTTGGCGTTTTCGAATGCAGACACATAAACGTACTACAATTTTACCGAAGGTTTTCTACGTGAAGTGGCTAGTGCCGGGTACTACTACTATAAGCTGATAAAGGGGATCCCCGCACCTACAAAATCCGGCTCCAGGTAAGTGGATGAGCATTGGTGTGTACTTATATTGTTTGCGTAATTTTTCTTAATACAGTCCGCTAAAAAAAATAACAATTTTTTTCACTCCTGTTGCGTAGACAATTTGGTCCGTTCGACCCGGTTTTCGAACTTAATTAAAATATTCAAAATTCAGGGATCCATTTTATGTAGCTTATCTAGTGCGCCAGACTTCATTATCTAGCGTCTTCACGGAGCAAGCTCAGTATTGCGCGCGGTAAATATATTATTATCAGACGTCCCGATAGCGGAACTACGTTCTTCGTTGATGCAACATAATTTTCATTTTTTGTAGTTTTCTTGCTAGAGTTCAGAGTTCATTCGTCAGGGTGGCCTGTACTCCCTTTCCCAATATTTTCCAACATAAAATAAGTAAATCTATTTTCAATTTTCAAGGATTATAATGATATAGTTCCTAGAAAAAGAAATATGATGATGTAAAGATAGAAAAACGCGGATTTACTAACATCGTTTTATCTTCAATACTTTAAACTTAAAAATTAATTATTTTTAAAAATTAACGAACACCATAATTTGATTGTGTGTACTATTGACAAGCTCTCATTGAAATTTCGGGGCTCTATGTTGAACGGATCCGGAGTAAAAAAATAAATAGTGGAGCCGCGCACGGATTTTCCATAAGCCGTAATGTATTTCATATGACTCCTAACGTCACGTGACTTTTTCGAGCGCTCCGGCCTGTAAGTACCGTAGGCCTCGGTTTAACTGATACTATATCTCGAAATGAACAACTAAATTATTTAAAAAGAATCTTACATAAAAATGGGTATCCCTTAAACAAAATTTAAAAAATTACCAACAACATCGTCCAGTTTTACTTGAGGGAGTTTCAGTGTGAATAGATCGGTTTAAATTATTCTTCTAGTTGATTCAATTTTCGGTCAAACTCAAATTATCCTCGTAGCTTTTTTTGTAGTATATTCCTCAGGGTCCTTCTTTTCGACTATTAGATGTCATGTCTTGCCATGCTACTTACTTACCATTTTGATCTACAGAAAGGTTGGTTCCATGTCACCTTGTAGCGTTCGCAAGTTAAAGAAATCGGTGTATTCCATTTCTGTGATTTGAAATGGTGTTCCAGTCTTTTTAACACTTGTAATGTAGGTTTGAGTGTGCGTTGCTTTTGTTTTTCTATCAATGAGTGTATAGTATGTCGTCTCCCTCATTTTGTGTGTGGCCAACTACGAGGGCCGTTTTTTTTTCAACCTCCGGTGGGCTATAAATAAAAGACAAGTAAAGGGAAAAAAATTGTTTTATTACCAAAATGTACGTAAACTTATGCTTATTGCTCAACATAATCACCATGAAGATTGAGGCATTGGTATACCTGTGGACAAGCTTTCCAATACCCTCTTCATAAAATGTTACCGCCAGGGAATTGAAATGAGTCTTTTTGTAGCCTAAATGTTCGGTAACAATAGAGTGCAGAGAAGATCTTGACACTTCTGGAAATTCCACAGACAAAGGACTTATTGTGAATCTACGGTTTTTTTAACCACCTTGTCAACTCATTCAACAAGGTCGTCTGTAACGACAGACTTGCGTCCTTGACCTCCTTCATCATGCACGTCAGTTCGGCCATCTTTATCATTCCCGTACAACACCATCACTCATAATGTTTTCTGCGTAAACAACGGCATATTCTCCGATGGATTTCTGCTGCACTATTTCCTTCTGCTTGCATGAAACGAATAACACTTCTCAACTTGGCGGGAGAATCAATAGACGCGGCAATGCTTATGCGACTGCGGCTCAGCACAAGCTGGCTATTTGAACTCGGCAGTGACATATGTTGTGGTGGGGAAGATGCGCGATCGACTACTGCGCACACCGCGGGCCTGCGACTTGTCTAGCCGTCACCGCATGAGATCGGAGGTTGAAAAAAAAAACGGCCCTCGTACTAAGACCTTAAGATCTATGGAAAGAATCTTCAAAGTTTTTACAGCATGTAGAGGTAAGTGTCAACTTCAGTTACATTAACTCGTATGTTAAGCATGTCGATGCCTAACATGGACACCACACCTTACAACCCCTATTTGACTTTATATAATCACCTTATGACTTCCCGTCATAATATGCTGTTTATAACATTACTGATTTGATTTTGTTTGTTTATTATAGTAGGGGAGCTAGCACGAAATCCACTGAACGAGAATGATCAAAATTTTAACCGATGGAGTTCCATTTTGCCCTATCAGAGTATGCTAAAATCGATCGTCTGCCGCCTCACGTCATACGACTTAAGGCGCTGCGGGTACTTCTTGTGGTACCAATTCTGAAAGGTTGTTTTTCGAGAAAATAAGTTATACACCAAATGAAAACGTTGATAATAGCTCTTAAAAAAATAGTTAAAAAAATCGCGCACATTTGATAACTCCGTAAAAAAACAATTCTTAGTCGGTTTTTCACGAACTTTCTACGAATATAACTAGGTTACCGTTGGAAGAATGAAGCTGATTTTTTTTACAGACCAATGATAGGTACAGCCAATGACTATGAGAGTGTTTCTTTTTTAAATTTTTTCTCTAATTATAAGATATCTTATAATGTTAAGCTAATAAGATAATCTTGTAATTAGAGACAAAATTTAAAAACGAAACACCGTTAAGTCATTAGTAGTGCTTATCATGAGTCTGTAAAAAAAATCAGCTTCATTCGTCCCACCGTAACCTAGTTATATCCGTAGAAAGTTCCTGAAAAACCGACTAAGAATTGTTTTTTTACGGAGTTATCAAATGCGCGGGATTTTTTTAAATATTTTTTTAAGAGCTATAATCAACGTTAGTAGTTAAACAAGGAGAGTTCTGGCACAATGTAAATCTCCATAAGCGCAATGCTAAAGTATGGGTTCATTTCAGTGACAAAAACTCACTTTTTGGATCGGTCTTGATAGCGGTGTTTTTTTCGAGGTTTGAGGGGTTGTATATGTGTGTAGGGGTAGTGGATGTGTTTTAGGGGGGTTGTGTGTTAAGGGGTAGTAGGTAAAAACAAATTTCTAATTTTAGAATCATGCTTAGTAACACAAAAGCGGCGTACTTGATTGCGGTGTTTTTTCGGGGTTGTATATGTGTGTAGGGGTAGTAGATGTCTTTTAGGGGGGTTGTAGATAAGGGGTAGGTAGGTAAAAACAAATTTCTAATTTTAGAATCATGCTTAGTAACACAAGCGGCGTACTTCATAAAATGTATAACTTAGTAGTAGTCGTTTGCGGTTGAGATTTATTTTTAGATGTTATTGCGGTTTTATATATATAGTTATTAGAAATTGCATGGAAACCAGTCGAGTTCTACTTATCAACAAACTACGACACACAATTAAATTTGTAAAACCAATAGCGGTTGTTGTTGTTATTGAAAACCAATCAGGTATGTTTTATTCCATTTATGACAATAATATCATGATAAACAAATTGTAATTTCAGTCAAAATGGAAAGCGTCTCTAAAATGAGCACTGAAATAGTAAAGCAGACCAGGAAACTAGCGACAATTTTGAAAACTAAAGCTGAAATCACTACACATATTGGTATTATTCGAAAAAACATCAAGTTAGTGGAAAGTTCAATTAAGGAAAAGGATGCGTTTCGTAATGAGAATTTAAGTAAGTTGGAGAATAATTTGGCCATTTTGCGATGTTACTTGACAAAGTTTAAAAGGATGAAAAACAATTTTACTAAAAAAGTTGGTGCAGGGATTAAAGCTAGTACTAGTAGTGGTAGTAATACTGATAAATGTAAACTGACGTGGAAAACGGTTGAAAGTGGGTTCAAAAATAGATTAATAACAGGTATTATTTCTAATATAGATGTAAAGGATCCTTTAGTTTTTCTACAGGATGCATACAATTGTTTTTCGCGAAAAATTAAGGTTATGTTAAAAAAATCTATGCTAAAGGTTAACGCTTATCTAGCGTGTAATTTTCTTCATCCTACATCTCTGGAAATCGATTTAAAAACCTTTGCAACACCAAATAGCATTATTGACGGAGGTGTCAACCTTAAAGAATGGTATAAAGAAAAAGTATTAGATAAATTGACTGTAAAGCTAAGTGAATTTGCAGGTAGAAATTCAGGTTGGGCTTTACATGAAGTGCTTTATTTTAAGGTTAATATTAATTCATATATTCCTTTGAATGGTGGAGGATTTTCAACATTTGTTGAGCTTCCCAAATTTATAGCAACTAAACATGCAGTCATCAATGTGCGAAACAATGATGAATATTGCTTTCTTTGGGCGATAATGGCAGCTATATATCCGGTAGCAATATCCACATTTCAGTACAGTTTTAAATTATGATACGATCGAGTTCCCAATAAAATTTTGCGACGTAAAGAAATTTGAAAAACTGAATAATCTGGCAATTAACGTTTATTGCATTGAAGGTAAACAGGTGCTTCCATTCCTACTTAGTGAAAACCTTACATGTGACAGAGAACCTATAAATCTATTGGCAATATTTGTAGGCATTAATAACGGAGTACCTTTTTATCATTTTGCATGGATAAAAAAAATGTCGGCACTGTTTTCCAAACAACAGTCTCAACATAACGGTACAAAATATATTTGTAATAGATGCTTAAATCATTTTTCTTCTAGTTCGCATCTTGAAAAGCATAAACATTACTGTAATCAGATAAATTCCTGTCAAGTGATCTTGCCTACAGATAATAATCAATATTTAGAATTTAAACATTTTTCATATCAAAAAAAAGCTCCTTTTGTAATCTACGCAGATTTGGAATGTATTCTAGAAAAATGTGACAATGCTGATATGCATAATAGTACAGAATATTATCAAAAACATACACCCTTTAGTATTGCATATTATTTAAAGTGTGACTATGATAATTCGCTGTCAAATTTTTCTTTATATAGAGGTCAAGATTGCATTCAATGGTTTAGTTCAGAGTTGTTAAATATTGCAAATAAAACTTCGCAGATATTTAATTATATAGTTCCAATGAGAAGTCTTACTCAAACGGAAATCTACGATTTTGAAAACGCTTCCATGTGTTATATATGTAATAAACCCTTTTTGAAAGACGATGATGATGGGAAGTTATGGAACATTGTCATCGAACCGGAAACTTCAACGGCGCTTCACATAATTCGTGCAACCTTAATTTTAAAGATTTACCCATTATCCCAGTAATTTTTCACAATCTGAGCGGATATGATGCACATTTTATTATAAAAAGTTTAGCTGCTGATTTTCCTGGGAATATTAGTTTATTGCCATTAAACAAGGAAAAATACATTTCATTCACGAAAGATGTCAGTAATACCAACATTAAATTTAGATTTATTGATTCGTTTAGGTTTATGAACAGTAGCATTGATAAACTGTCATCATATTTAGAAGATCATAAAAAGACAATTACCAAATTTCACTGTAATAATGATACTGAATTTCATTTATTAACAAGAAAAGGTGTTTTTCCCTATGAATATCTTGACAGTTGGGCAAAACTCAATGAAACAATGTTACCGTCAAAAGATGATTTTTTTAGTCGTTTAAATAATGATGGTATTAGCGACGAAGAATATGATCATGCAAATAAGGTGTGGAGTTCATTCAATATTAGAAATTTAGGAGAGTATTCAGATTTATATTTAAAAACAGATGTTTTACTTTTGGCCGATATCTTTGAGAATTTTAGAGAAACTTGCATGGAAACATATAAGCTGGATCCATCTAGATATTTTACCTCTCCAGGGTTAGCTTTCGATGCGATGTTAAAACTTACGGGCATTAAGTTAAAACTTTTATCTGATATAGATCAGGTAATGTTCATTGAACGAGGAATTCGAGGTGGTATAACCCAATGTTCAAATAGATATGGAAAGGCAAACAATATTTATATGGGTGAGAAATATGATTCAAATGTCGAAACGTCATATTTAATGTATTATGATGTAAACAATTTATATGGTGCCGGGATGTCTCAAAATTTACCATATGACGAGTTTCAATTTTTAAATGATTTTAATATTAACGATATACTCAATCATCCGGATGATGCAGATATTGGTTATATTTTAGAATGTGATTTAGACTATCCTCAACATCTCCACGAAACCCATAGCGATCTACCTATGGCACCAGAACATATGATTCCTCCTCAGTCACAATCAAAATTAAACAAATTAATGTTAACGTTATATGCAAAAAGAAATTACATTATACATTACCGTAATCTAAAGATGTACTTAGAACATGGTTTAAAATTAGTTAAGGTGCATAGAGTGTTATCTTTCAAACAATCACCATGGCTAAAGAAATATATTGATCTAAATACGTACATGCGGCAGAAATCAAAAAATGAGTTTGATAAAACCTTTTACAAATCAATGGTAAATAATGTATTTGGCAAATTAATGGAGAATGTACGTAAATATAAGGATGTGAAATTAGTTACTAAGTGGGGCGGTCGCTATGGAGTGCGTTCGTACATATCCAAACCCAATTTTCATAGTTGTACAATAATCGATAACAACATGGTATTAATCGAGATGAATAGGTTAGAAATACAGTTAAATAAGCCTATATATGCAGGATTTTCAGTTTTAGATATATCAAAAATATTTTTATATGATTTCCATTATAATTATATATTGCCAAAGTTTCAGAAGCACGCCAAACTCCTATATACAGATACAGATAGCTTGATATACCATTTCTTTGTGCCCAATATATATGAGTGTATTAGGGAGAGCATTTATAGGTTTGACACCTCTGATTATGATGTTAACAATCCTTATAACATTCCTCAGGTTAATAAAAAAGGTACCGGGATTAATGAAGGATGAAAACAACGGAAAAATCATGTTAGAATTTGTAGGCCTTCGTGCAAAAATGTATGCATACACTGTAGACGCACAGTTAATTAAAAAATCTAAGGGATCTAGAAAAGCTACAATAAAGGAGATAACAATTGATGATTATAAGGAAGTCTTGTTTGATCGCATTGAAATTAAACGATTTCAATATTTAATTCAATCCAAAAACCATGCTGTATATACAATTAAGCAAGACAAATTAGTTTTAAGTCCTCATGATGATAAGAGAATAGTTAATTTTAGTTGTACAGACACTAAACCGTGGGGTTATAGTTATAGATTGTAATTGTATTGTATATTAGAACTTCATGTATATATTATTATTTGTTGTTGTTTTATTATTGAAAAAAGAAGGAATAATAATAATAACCCATATTAATATTAAAACGTTTTTTATTTATATATTCCTATAGCACATACATACATCAAACTAAATTATCTTTATTAATCCATTGATTATGAGATTTATCTAAACCTAACCACTTAACATAAATCTGATTGCCACGTTTCTTTAACACCTTTTCAATGAGATACACATCGTGATTCATAGTTTTCTGTAGCTCATGTTCATAGAATCCTCCAGCTATCGGTTGTCCATGCATGTCTTCCAATAAATATTGAACTGGATTGGTTATCCTAATGTTGATAATTTTAAACAGTTCAGTTGACCAATTTGGTGTATATCCTTTTTCGAAAATATTTTTAAATTTGCTAATTCGAACAATATCGCCCATTTTAAACCGCTGATTTCCAAATATTTTTAAATGACTGTAAACATCCAACTTTGTGTGTGGCTGCACTGCAATAGGTCGCATTCCCGTTGTACGATGTTTCGCGTTATTATATTCTCTGGTCACTTCATCTAATATATCGATCCATTTATATTTACCAAGCAAATGAAAACGTTTAAATATCTTAGTCTTTAAAGTTCTTATTACACGTTCCGCAATCGAAGCTTTTTGCACACTATATACCGAATAATGATTTATTTTATTTTTCTTCATTAGAGCTGAAAATTTGGTATTGTAAAATTCTGTACCGTTATCGGTTTGCAAATTTGATGGTAATCTACTAGAATCTTTGAAAATTTGTTGAAATGATTTCACAACCTCATCGCCCGTTTTAAATTTAAGCGGTCTTGTCCATACAAATTTTGAAAATGCATCGATTACAACTAAAATGTATTTGTAACCTCGGTTCTCCTTTGCATATGCACCAAATTCCGCCAAATCGGCTTGCCATAAATCATCATATCCTTTGATCGTTGTATACCTTCGAGGAAAATTTTTTCGAGCAGGCTTAAACAATTCATTTATAACTTGCTCTTTAGGCGTTAGAGACATATCTGTTACTGGGCACTATATGATTATTTTCAACGTTCGCAACAATTTATAACCGCGTCATCGGGATATTTTTTGTTTCAAGATTTTCAATATCTCTAGCAATCACACCCATGTCGGCATATATACGCTTTATTTTCTTTTCAAGATCTAAATCTTTTTGCTCAAAGTGCTCGGCCAATATTTTTTTGATCTCAAAATCAATATACACTTTGTTATTTTGTTGTGTTAGTGATTTCCTTAATTCTGCAATTTCATCTGTAATACCTTGATGTAGAGAATTTTTATTTATTTGTAATTCATCAATTTTGTTCTTAATAACGTAATCAAAATATTTCTTTAACTCGTCAATTTCATGTTCTAGGAATGTTCTATTAATTCCATCGTTATCTTCCTGAGGGCTAGCCAAATTAACAAGCCGTTTGTCTTGTACATCAAAATAATCATTATTTAATGTTAAGGTTTGACCTTTAATTACAGCGTCCGTATAATGTTCAGCCTGTGCAACATTGGATAATTTTTTATTGTCAATGTCAAAATCACCATCTTCAGTCAGATTAAAACCGTTACCGGTTTGCCCCCTAAAAGAGCTCCCAGTGATGTTTAATGATGGTGAATATGAATACCGTCCAAACTTATCGATGCTCATCGCTGTTAAAACTGACATTTGATTCACAAAACCATGCTATTTATATCTGGTTTAAAAAATTGTAGTTACGAAACGGATTTTTTATATAACCCGCCTCGTATAATTCTTCAATAATTGAAATTATATCATTACGATGCCCTGTATGTCCTGCTTCCTTTTCGGCCCATTTCACTTGAAGTTCATCTATTAATTCATGCACATCATTCCAATATCTATGTGACGTATGTGTTACAACTTGTTTAAATAAAGGCAATCCTCTACCCGTTTTGTTTGAATAAGATGATGATGATGATGATGCTGATGGGGATACATATTTAACGTAGCGTTTATATTTATAGGATTTGCTCCCTTTAAGCTGACCATCGACAGTATGACCGCGTCTATTTGCAAATGTCCTATCCAAAATTTCACGATAATTTTTCTCATCGCTTTGTGCAATTCTATTGGGATCAGGAGTGTTCATAACT